AAATCTTGATGGAAAACGGTGATGAAGTGAATCACGAACGTGCAAAGGATGGATTGATCTTCTCGATCCTGTAGCATATTGCGATACGCTTCGTCAGTTACCGCAAAAATATGCGGTGGCATCTCCTTCCTTTTCTTTCCCTAGAAGCAATTGTACTACTGGTGCCAGATGCCTAGATTAGACTGAAGCAATAGTGGTGGACGCAATACCAAAGGGTATTATCCAGAGTGAGATTATTCCTGAGGAGTATATCCGAACCTAAGTGACCTACTCTTACATAACACAGGTGTTGCACAGTGCTTACATAGAAGGCTTGTTTCTCCCACACAATAACTGTCAATGACACTGACCTTGTATTGTTCAGCGATGGAATCAGTATAGATCGGAAGTCGTTTATATGGATTTACAACCACACAAAACAGCCCAGAATATGTCTGTAATGGAATCAAACAGTAATGGAGCGTTCAGAGTTTCTTAGGCGATTAGGCGATCAGACGATTCAAAATGAAGTATAGGAATCGATTCAGGTGATTAGGCGAATAGTCGACAAGAAAAGGATACGTATCGATGTTTGCTTCGCACCCATGCGGTCGCCTATTCGCCTAACACGCTCTAAGGTGGCGCAATATTATTCAGTACGTATGTGTCTTCGTCTCTCCTATCGCATGATCGCCTACTCTAATCATAGCCGTATTATTTTCCCATTATGGGACGAATTTGCGCAAGCACTCCTCTGACTTTTATCCCTTAGTGATGTGTCTCTAAACAGCTGAGTAGAAGCGAAAATGATGTCAGTTGATTTTCAGAGCCTATTCTGAGAAAAGAACCCTTCCCATAGGCCTAGCACATACTCTATACAACATTAGCCAGCAGTCATTTGGTTGTGAAGACAGCCGTGTGGTAAGTACCAACTTCTTCGCTTAGCAAATATGTAATAACAATAGCAGATCACATTTGAACTCACATAGATGAGGTTAGAGAAAAACCGCTGTCTAAGGTTATGTAGAACGGAAGCCTCGTTTAAGCACGACATGCTTGACATGTCCTCACACTTGTCGAATCTGGGTGGATTTACTTTCTGGTAATCATCACGACTAACACGCTGACGTTCATGTGAATCGAGTAGTTCAACCTGCACGTACCCTGAAATAAAGTACTTAGCATTACTCGTAGAAGTAGATACTAATTATCATAATATTCTACCTTCATGATCCGCTTCACTGATTATGAACGACAAAGCGAACCCATCCTTCTCATGAGGTACCCACACAAGAGTTTTGCCGTGAGCTTCAGCGGCTTTTATGCGGCCAGCCAATTCATTGTGACTCGCCTGATTTGAATAGTGAGTAAATGAACTCAGAACATAAACTTGATAGAATTTTCAAGTGCTTAACTCAGTAACTTACTTTTAGGACATCCAACTCGGTTTCTTTTCGTGATAAGTATATAGACATGAAGTTTTATGACAAGAGTAAGCTGAAACATGATGTTAATATGATGTTAGGGAGGGAAAGCCACTGGAAGTATCAGCAACGAAGCCAAGGACAAGAGTAAAGCGAAATCACCGTTTCGGAGGCGTAGTGAATATGAAATGATTGAAGTTCCATACTCCACCCCCGCTGTTTTGACTGAGAAATCAACCGCAATCTTTATCATCCAAAGGCGCAATGTGCCTCCGGAGGGGGGGGGGGCAGTCCACCAGGAGGTCCACTAGGACTAAGCCTAACGCAAGGGGTCGAATCGCAAGGGGAAGAATTCCGAAGCGAATGAAAAGGCGCAATGTGGCTCGGGGGGGGGGCACCACGCAACATCGCGTCAAAATCACGGAAACGCTCCGTTTTCAGGACTAAGCTTTTGAAGAGGAGAGGAACTCCGGTGTACGGAAGCAATTTTCGTATTCTCCGGAGTTCGTCCCTGCTGTTTAGGCTTAGTCCTAGATGACTTTTTTCA